GAGTTTTTCTCAGGTTAGACGCACGTGACAGACTCATGTTGTGTGTCAGTCTGCTCTGACAAACTTTTGACATCTGTTGGATAAGGTCAAATTTGACAGGCTCAATTGATTGAAAATATAAAAGTACCCCAACTCGGAAGTGGAGAAAACAGTTAGCCGTTTGTCTGCAGGGGGTCAAAAAGATAGCCGTTTGTCTGCAGCACTTTCACAGATAGCCGTTTGTCTGCACTCCCTTTGGAGATAGCCGTTTGTTCCGAGGAGGTGTCGCAATGTTCCGGAGCCCCTAGAGGAACCCAGACGGGGGAAATGTGTGTCGGTTCGCTTGGAGCGCCTGATGGGTAGACAACCCGCAGGGTCCCAGCGCGGCGCGGCACGATGGGCTGCCTTTCTGGAAGGGGCGCTAGACACCCTGGAACTGGGTCTGGAGCCAGGGTTCGATCGGGAAGGGCGCCCAGGGTGCCCAGCCCAAACTAGGTGGGCTAAATACCGTTTTGCAGTGAAGTGGAGTGTTGCAGAGCTCCACGGAAATGGTTCCTTCTCGAGAACGGCGCAAAACGTATTTTGTGGTTGACTGTTCCGATTAGAGGAGGGTCTAAGCTAAGTTTTAAGCCAACGGGAGCCAAATTTGGTTAAGGTACTTGGAAACTGTGCAAATTTTAAAACTTCGTAAAAGTTTGAAAGTAAAATTTTTTTTTCAAAACAAAATTTTTTTTCACTAGTAGATTTGATTTTTCTTCCCCTTTCCAAATCTGGTCTCGGATTTGGTCTACGATGCATATTAGCGGCGCTATCAACCTTCAAAGTTGCACTGGTGCAGCAATTTGAGAAAAAAGTTTTTTGCTATACCTCAGCCCCTGGGGCTACATTCGAAAAACTTTGTACCGGTCATGAACTAGTACCATTGGGGTAACAAACCCTGAAAAGAAGGAATCAATTCGGTGACCATGGTGGCAGAGGCCTTGTCGACTTGGCGTGGAATGACCCAACACCATTTGCAGCAGCATAAAGCATTAGAAGCCTGGCATATTGATTATGTACTGGATCAAATTCTGTGCATAGCTGTGTCATTGCATTTACTACCTCAACTTTACCGAGTCGCCCTTGAATTGCATTGAAGGTCGGGCATATGAGATCCAGTCGATCCAGTCCGGACAAAATGAGTTGATGATAACCTCCTCTGGCATCCATTGTGTCTCCGTGGGCAGGGGCCGTTCAAATGTGACGTCACACTTTTTAGGCTCATTTTTCGACCCCTCCCCCCCTATAGTCACAAATGGTCACTATTTTGACTCCGTACGGCACTCCGTACGATTCGGTGAGAAAACTTGTATAGATCTCATTTTTATCATTTTACTTGCTTCTTTTGTATCTTTTGCGTGCTTTGATTTCTCGTCGGGAGTGTGCCTACTGCTAGAGTTTGGTTAAGGAATTTTTCATTCTCACTTCCTGTTAAACGGCCTCACGCGGGAAGATGCCAAGGCTCATCGTGGGCTTCGGCCTTAGCGTTCGGACACTTCGGGAAAGTTCGGGAGTCGAGCAGATGCCGAACGAAAACAAGTTCTTTAATTTTAATAACAATAAGAGCTTAGATCTGTTAAGAAAGTGATTGTTGCGAACGGTTAAGTTGCAAATTTTCAAACCTCTAACCTTTCTTTCCTGCTCAAACTCGGATGTAATCACAAATTTTTTTTAAGAAACGTGAGGGCCGAAGGCGACCCGAACCGCCGGAACCGAGAGCCGATCCGAGCAGCCGAATCCCCCATCAGGCAACTTGTTGTTTTGTAAACAAACTCTTGGCTGCTGGTGTTTCCTATAGGGCCCGTGCAGGTCGAGGATCTCGAAACGGTGCTGTTAAACGACGCATAACGTTCCCTTCCGTGCTGTTGGGAAAGCAGCGCGAAGTTCAAATTTGGTTCTCGCGTTTTCGCGTTTTGAGAAGTGACTGGAATTCATCCAACCTTTTACATTGTCGAAATTAAATTAAATAAAAATTTCCGACTCGTGTTGAGAGCTTTTGTGGCATACTCGTATCGGGAAAAACAGAAAAAGGCTGTTTCGTTTGCCCACCAGCAGCGACGGGTGCGCGGAGTTAACATGGCGTCGACCTAGCAGACATTTTGTCAACCAACCTGCACTATCTTGACAAGTTCACTTATTTTTCTTAAGGTTCGGCGTAATCGACTACAGTTTTCCCTTTTCCAATTATCGGAACCGACACCGCCCTGCCGCGATCCTTAGCCACTTTGTTTAAAACCGGTAAAAAAAAAAATACAACAAACAGGCACCTCCAGCTTGGGTCCCAGTTTGAAGGCTCGCGCGGAAATGCCCACCAGGAGTTTTTGTTCTTCCTCCAGCGGTGCACGGGCCCTATGCGAATTAGGCGCTAGTTTCCGCTACAATTTTGTATGATTTTTCTGCATTTTCGGTGAACGCAATAGTACTTGCTTTATGCTCCTCAACTAGTCTTTTCACCCGTTGTCTATTTTCCATAAGTTCGATTTTTCCGTCAAATAGTTTTTCCCAAGTTCATGCTCGGCAATATTACCGGTCACATTATTCGATTCATTCTGCTTGTTTCTCTCTTATACTCCGTAATGCATTGTTTTTCTTTTAATTGATGTGTTTAAAATTTTTACTGCATGATGACTAGGCACTGACTTGCATGTCTCAAAACTTTTTCTTGTCTTCTACGTGCAACAGCATAATGCTTCAATCATAACCTAACCCATGCCTTACAATTAAAATCTTCCTTTTTTGTTTCAGGTGCTCAAAATGAGAGGAACCCACAGAACACTGTCTACTCAAAACTACATGAATCATCCGACCATTGCAGGATGGGCCCGTTGATTTGCTGTAGGCATAATCATGTGAGTACATACAGGATTCCGCTAAGTCAGATATAATCTGCAAGAAGTTTTATTCATATGTAATCACCTAACGAATGTCAAGTCAACTCGTAATCACATTACGAATGTCAACTGAACTTCTAGCTTTTGCAGTGATTGTCCAGACAATGTCCACTACAGGGCAAGCTTTAGTCTTAGGTCTTGCCAGATGCCATTTTGAAGAAAAATGTAGGAAGCTGTTTATTGTTTACTTTCCAAACAAGGACTGGTACCAAGTCAGTTTTATAATTGATTCAATACCCCAGGACTTATTTCATACAATGTCCTGCTTATACATGACTGTTTCTTTTAAACCGTTTTCCATATGGTTCCTTTTCTTTATTTCCAAGGCGGTCTCACATTTGGCGTTCTCTCATTTGATGCAAAGTTAACACTAAGACAAATGGGCTGGCTTTATTGTACTATTAAGCTGAGTTTTCCAAATCTTTGTTTCAGCTGCCTTTAAATTTTTTGTCTTCATGTTGCAGGGAACAGGTGCTTTGCAGAAAAACTGGCGCAGTGCCGAGTGGAGAGACTGCCAGCCCTAGCTGAACTGGACTAGCATTGATGTACTAATTTGGATTGAAGTGAGTATAATCAAAACGATTGTCTGTAGCTAAACTAATCTAAAATTAACATTTCAAACTCAAGTTTTGTTGTTCATTGCTTTGTTTCTTGTTACAGTGTGAACGATTTCACTTTTCCTCGAAGTTTTCTTTACTCTACGAGTAATTGGCTGAGCGATAGCGAAGCCTGTTACTCAGATGGGGTTGAAAAATTTTTCCTGTCTGTTCCTGTCTGCGTGCGTGCGTGTGTGGTGTGTGTGTGTGTGTGTGTGTGTGTGTCCGCGCTACTCCTCCTAAACGGCTCGGCCGATCTCGGTGAGATTTTGCACACTTTTTGGGTATGTCCTTGGCTCGGCACACGCGAAATTGCACTATCCTAGCTCAACTGGTTCGGTTTTTATAGCCGAAAAACACCTAAAAAACGGCGAAAAATCGAGTTTTCTGCAGGCAGATCACTTCTGTCTTGAAGAAAGGGGGTCTGGGGGGCGGAGCTCCCCAGCCTCGACAAGTTAAAAAGTCAGGCCAATGCAGCCCTAGGCACGAAATCAAATGCTGTTTTGACCTTCAATCACGCAAATTGGTATGCGGATGCCTGGAAAAGAAACCTAGCCTGCCGAAGGCAGGCAAGCGCCGCAGGCCAAGGTAGGTGTAACGCCAGGCGTGGATACGCCAAGACACGGTCTGGCGTACACCTACCTTGTTATTGACATGCGAATCAATTGGCTGCCTGATGAAAAAATTTTCCATCAATATGGTTGAATACTTTGTTTGTTTCAATGAAAGATTCCTTGCAAGGTAAGCTTTCAAAATTTCTTGGGACACATTTTTGAGACTGTTTCTTTTTTTACTTGCATTCTTTTTTGTTCTTTTCAGTGTTCTTCTCCAAACAACCATACTGGCAGTCAAAAGTATATTGTGACATCAGTTTACACGTTTCAATTAACTGTATTGTTTTCTGTCTTCCTCCCCTTTGTTTTAATGTGGAGTATATTTGTACCCTTATTCCTGGTGGAAGAGTATAAGATTCTGCATGCTCTTTCACGAATCCACAGTCTAGGTGAGTCAAAGACACATTTGTAATTTTTATACCTATGGCCATGTTCTAGTCCTATCATATTTTTACAACAGTGATCTGCTCACTGGAAGAGATACCTTTGTGGGTAGTGTTGGCGTGGGCTACCAAGTTATTTAATTGGCTGCTCACTAGGGTGGGCCGTGAAACACGATTTTTCGATATCGCAACCGTAATAGCGCGCCAAAGTTACTTCATGGCAATACAAACTCAACGCGATCTGGGCCAGGTCTGTAACTTAAAGCTTGACCCTCGCGCATCGACGTTGAAAATTCGAAAATTCGACTTTTACGGGTTTTTCTTAAAACAGCCATAGAAACTGAACCAGATGTCCAAATGATGTTTCCGAGACGGAAATGGAAACGTCTGATCATGCTTTATCAGTTTAAGACCACCGAGACCCTCTCCGAGCAGTAGGAGACCAATGGGAGAAAATTACAAAATTACAATTTTTTTTCGTTTTTTACAAAATGCAAAAATTGCCTTTAGGGTTTGATACGGCCATCCTGATGTCACCGTACCCGAACCATACCCCGAATCATCTTCTCTAAGGGCCCCTTTCCCGTTTTAAGCGCACGGGGTACCCCGGGATCCGTTCACACGTTAGGATTTGGACGCCAAAAACACATGTTTTACTAAAAATGCAAATTATCGGTACTCAGGGCACTGTAGGGCACTCGTCTCGTCCGTATGAACTGTAGTGACTCTAAATAGATTACTAGATGGTGACTTTGCGTGGCAGGAACCCACCAGTATATAGACAATCGGACGAAGAGACCTTTAGAACGCTATTTCCATTGAAGGTTCGGTTAAATCCGTTTTCCAAACATTAAGTTTTCACTGTACTGCTCTTGGCTCGCCCGGAAAATCCGAGACGACTCAGCCCTCACCATCAGAAGGTGGCAGTACGTCGAGATTCACCACCACCCTTACCCAACCAACCAGAGGTGGGGCTGCGACACACTGTTAAAAAGGCCGTACATTTCAAGGAAAAAGGTACGGCTAGACCGTACCACACGATGTACAGAACAGCTGTACCAAAAAAACCGTGCTTCCCATGAGAGCCCATGTCATGAAAAACCGTACTCCGTACCCCAAAAGCCGTACTGGCTGAGGTACGGTGGTACCAGGCAAATGTTCCACCAGACTGTGACTGTATTTTTTCCCGTGGATTTTTCCTACAGCGCATGTATAAGCTGACACCTCGATACTGTATACAGGAGATTGGAGCAAAACGCAAAGGTAGAGTACGCCAGAACGAAGGTAAACGTTTACCTGTGAGAAGACATGACTTCCAAAATTGGTCAACTGGCGTAACATGACGCTGCGGCTGTCGCAGGCAGTCCTACGCACAAATTTTAACGGAATAGGGTACTTCGGAGAAGAATCAGACCGGAAGCCAGCGCCACAACCGGAGAAACAAAAGAGCGTCGCGCGGGCGTGCTAGGCGGTGGTGGGGGCAATAATGGGCAGAGTGGGGGTAAAGGCGGCGCGCGCACGCTGCCCCCACCATGCCCAAACTGACCCCCACCACCGCCTAGCTGCACGTCGTGATACACAGCCACGGATCCCGGAGATCCGCTCCTACCGAGAGCCGGCCCGAGCGCGGCACCCGAGTGCGCAGCCGAAGTCGGACCCGAAGGCAAGCTCCGAAGCCACCG